AATAAGCTAGGAAAATTGCCAGGGATAATAGAGGGAAGTCTTCAAAACGCTGATGAAAATCAAGCCAAAGAAAACACACACACACACACACACACACACACACACAATCAAGGAAGGACAGGGAAATCTTATGGCTTGGTTAATAGTGTAGAAGTAAGACACTTCACAGGAAGACTCTAGTCTGATCATTCTCACTTCCTGTCTTCTCTTTCTTTCCTACCTGCCCATCTTTCTATCCTCTGAGGGAGAATGAACTTCATGCTGAAGAGAGAGAGAACAAACGGTGTTTGTGTTGTAAAGGAGATAAAAACAGTCAAAGGAATAGAAACTCCCAGCATCCAACTTCTCATCTCATATTTGAACTTCCCCTGTGGAGGAAAAGCCGGGCTGGGCTAACAAGATAACTCACAAATCTAAGTATCGGAATACTGATCTGAGTTCTGCTGGACTAACTTGCAAATCTAAGTTAATTAGTGTTGGTTTGCTGTTCATGTTTTTTCTAGCCAGCTAGATTTTCAAAGAGATATATCTGGCTTTGGAATGTTGGTTTGCTGCCTCCCTGCCTCCACTTTTGTGATAATGATGCTGCTAAAGCTGTTCCATGCCTACTGGCCGAATACCCCAAGCTTGTACTTAACCCTATAAAACCTCATGCGCACGTCTTGGAGGTGCTCAGAGCTTCGGAGCAGAAGCCCCTCTGAGCCTGCCGGCGTAATACATCTGAGTACTCCAACCCTCCGAGTGGTGCTTGTTTCTTGGCTGGCCTGTCGTTTCCATAACACCCCCTTTGCGTCAGCCTCAACAAGTAAAAGTCCCCTTGAACACCCCACTTCTAATATCTTCAATTCATCACATCTTTGATCATATTATTCCATCTTCGGGCAACAAGAACAATTAGAAAATCTACTTTGTCATAATTCTGAGTCCAAAAAAACTTCCTATATCTTCCATTGGCTTGGGTCCCACCCTTACTGTAATTAAGGACACACTAACTTTCTTTCTACATAAAAATTACTTGAACATTTTTAAACATTGCTTCTATTTCTCTTCTCCAAGTAGACTTATCATTTCTTCAGGCTCAATTTTCCCCCAACAACTGGATGGTTGAGTGTCTTTCGTATCCTCTGAAAGTGTTTTAATTGGATTTTAACCAAATATTCTTCTTGGTTAAAAGACATGGTAAGTGAGAACGGGCTAATATTCTTTTGTTAAAAGAAAATCAAAGATGCCAGAAGAAGGAGCTCGTTCAGCTTTCCTTCACTGAACTCACAAGTCCACGTACACCTGTACCCCTCCTTTTTTGGTAAACTGGAGGACGTGGCCCTTCTTCTAAGAGTAATTCCCCCAGCGGGGCTTTGGACCACATCACTTGTGCCCCCCTAAGCAGACGTTATCAGTGGTCCCTCTCTGTTCCTTCCCTCAGCTCATCTCAATCTTCCTCTTTGTAACTGAGCTTCCTGTCTGGTCTCACTGCCTGCATTTTTTCACCTCCTCCTTGCTCTTTAGTCACTGAAAACTGGCAATTGGGCCTTCACTTCTCTGGAAATGATCTCTCTAAGTTCATCAGTCATATCCGTAATTCTAAGTAAAATGAATAATTTTTTCTTTCTTATCTACTTCATCTCTCTGCAGGACACAATACTGTGGACCACTTTCTTTTGAGAACATGCTTTTCTTCTCACCTTCTCAGATACCAGACTCTCTTGGTACCCTTCCCAGTTCTTTGATTTCTCTTCCTCATACCTCTTTACAGGCCCATTCTTTTTATATTCTCTCATTAAATAGCAGAGCTCCTTAAGGATTAGTCCAACCTCCAATCCTCTTTTCTCACTACACAATGTCTCCTTAGGACATTCCATGGCTTCAGTCACCGTACGTATGATCTATGGATACCCCTCAGCCCAGGCTTCTTTGAGTATGAAACAGTCACATTCAGCTGTCTACTTCACACCCACTTGGATGTCACAAGGACAGCCAAACCAGAAATCAGCACGCCCAAAACTGGAATCGTGTTCCCCTTGCCTGTTCTTCCCTGGTGCTCCTTTTTCCAGTTGTATAAGCCCAAAATTTGGGATTTATTCTTTAGTCCTTTCTCCCTCTTTCCTCTCTTGGTGTCATCCATCACCAAGATATATACATGAAATACCTAAATAACTTCACATTCGTGCATTTCTCTCCATCTCTAAGTCCCATCCTAATCCAAGATAGCATCGCTTTTTTTTTTTTTTTTTGCTGGACTACTGCTGTCACTTGCTAACTTGTCTCCCACATTTTTCCCCCTCAGTATCTGCCCTCCACTCTATAATCAGGATGAACTTCCGAAAATTCATATTGCCACCCTGCTTAAAATTTTTAGTAGGTTCTCATTATGTTTGCAGAAGAGCAAAGTCCTTACAATGCCCTGTGAGATCTGGCCTGTGCCTGCCTCACCAGCCTCGTTTCTTACTACTTCACCATCTCAACTGGCCGTCTTTCAGTTCCTCATGCGTGCTCTGCTCCCTCCTGCTACAGGGCTTTGGCACAAGTTGTTTTTACAATCATGAAACACTTCCTTCTCCTTTTCCTTACAGTTAGGTACAGGTGATTTATTTTATTTTATTTTTATGGTTTTTTGGGGGGGGTAGTAATTAGGTCTGTTTATTTACTTTTTTAACAGAGGTACTGGGGATTGAACCCAGGACCCAGTGCATGCTAAGCACACATTCTAGCACTGAGCTGTATCTTCCCCCCTGCCAGGTGATTTCTTTTCATTACTCTCTTGTAACTGTATTTCCATCCTTTGGAGAACTGATATCAGTTCCTCATAACACACGTACTTTTTAGAAATTTGATAAACATCTGTCTCTCTAACTACAACATTATTTAATAAGAGTAGGGCTTTAATTTGTTTAAAGATCTCTGTATCTTCAAAGTCTAGTCGAGCATCTGGCCCACAGTACACACTCGGTAAATATTTGTGGAATGAATGAGTATATGGGCGAGCCTCAGCCATACCGCTTCATATCTCTACTCTTTCCATGTGCTCTTCCTTCCTCCTGGGACAAGCCCGTCCTGCCCTCTTCCCCACGCTCTTCTGCTAGACTTGCCAAATACAACACAGAGGTGTTAGAAGAGTGTCTCTGTTCTTTAAACGGTTTCATGTCTCCAGGTGCATGATTTCCCAGGATATTAAAAGGATTTAGCCATGTGTTTTTGTCTCATAATTGGTAATCTTGGAGAAAAAAATCAGAGAGAACATACGCTGCCATAAATCTGGAGGTGTGTGACAGACAAATATTATCCCAGTCACTGGAAAGATAGAATCCGTCAGTGCAGACTGTCAAGCATGACTTCAATTGGAGAAATTCTAGAATAGATTATTGAGATAAGGTCTGTAGGTCACTAGAGAGGAAAATGACCAGCACGAGTTCCCTGAGACTGTCATTCCATTGTAGTCACCCTTCTCAGTTAGTTACGGTTCAGTAGCTTGTACCAAGGAGGGAGGGGCTTCAGACACAATACATCTGACATTCAGAAAAGTCTTTGATCGCACTTCTCCTGATGTTTTTATAGATGGTATACACAGGTGAATTTATAACTGACTGACGGCCCTTGGGACAGTGACAAATGGATGGATGCTGATCTGGAAGACAGCTGGAGGCTTAACATACCTCCATGCACTCCTGGTTAACATTTTTACTAACAATGTAAGTGAAAATACACATGATTATCAAAGAGGTAGATCACAAGTGCTGGGGTGTGTGGTTGGGGCAAAGCTAATCGATCACCAGAATCAGAATACAAAATTATTTTTAGGCTAAAAATAACAGAGACGTATTCCCCCCACACGTGTTATCTCATTTAATCATCATAGTAGGATATTAATATTATCAATAATTGTCATTTATTATGTGCCCTAAGGGTACCAGATGCTCTGCATGAGTTAAGTCATTTAGTCTTTGTAAACAATCCTTTGATATGGATATCACTCCTCCACTTTACAGAAAAGGAAACTGAGGATCAAACAGGTCAAGTACCTTCTCTAAGATTTCAAAGGTGGTGCTGGAGCTGGGATTTACACACAAGTCAGCCTGACCCTCAAACTGAAAACCCTCTTTCCTAGATTCCATTGGTTTTTCAGATAAAATGTATCCATCAGGTGTAAATGATGCACTGAGTTGCAGGAACTCAATTCTACAAGCACAGAACGGAAGGGACAGGGTTTCACGGTGGTTTGTGTGAAAGGTGTGAAGGTCTTGTTTGCCTGTGAGCACCTGGTGAATCACCGGAGTGAGTCACTGACTTCTCCCCAGATGAGTACAGTCTGGGCTACGGAACGGTGCCCGGGAAAAAGGGCAAGGGTCACACTGTGATCTTCCGTGCCTGAAATACGGGGCTTCTGGACACTGCGCCTAAGAAAACACTCAGTGTGAGCAAACCCAGGATAATGGACCAGAAGGATGAATTGAAGTCATGAAAAGGGGTCGAAAGAACTACAATATAGAAAACACGCGGCCTCTGTCCGTATACAGTTAACATTTGTTAATGTAAACTACAAGACAGACATTGTTCTAAATATTTTACAACTTTAATTTATTGAACCCTCACGATACTCCGTGACATGGATACTGTCATTATTGCTTCAGTTTTGCAGATAAGGAAACTGAAAGGCACAGAGAGGTTATATGCCTTTCCCCAGGGTCAAGTAGTTACAAAGTCTGAAAGTTTGGCTCCTATTTTCAATTGGAATAAGAAATTAGAAGAGGAATTAAATACATTATTTGGTTACAGAAGTTAAAAAAAAAAGCAGAATGGGTGCTCTAGCAGAGGACAATTTGATTTCATCTCAAAAACCTAACAATTTACATCATCTCAGAAGAATCTTGCTGAGTTCTCTCTCCCTGGAAGATTTCACTCAGGCGTATTTTTGAGGGATTTCACAGCATTGGAAGAGTTTGGTTTAATGTGACTTACACGTTTCCTTCCCTGCCAGTGAGCCTGTCAGAGTCAACATGGTCCCCTATTGGTAGGTTGGAGTGACAGCATTTATTCTCCTGGAATCTTGAGGTGTGTTTGGAAAAAATCTAGATTCACTGGAACTTGATTTACAGGACCTTACACTAATCAAAATGTAGTGCTTTCTGCATTATGTTTTCAAAGACAGAAGGTGGTTTTTAAAAAGTATTTTAATATTTCTTTTTCCATCCATGAGAACATACATCCAGACAATAAAGATTTATCGAGCACGTACTATGTGTAAAATTATATCCGATTCCTTTTTTAACTGCCTATTGTTCATTCCTTTTAATTATGAGAAAATGTAGGCTTGGAAAATTTCAGTGATTCGCTCAAATTCCCACAACTAGAAAAGAGGAGAACAAGGCCTGAAACACAGGTTTGTCAAAACCTTGCTTTCCCCAGCGTGCTCTACCCTTTCCCCAAGAAAATCAGATAGATGTATTTCCCAGGTAATTTCAATAGCAAAGTTTTCTGCCTTGTTTCTTGGGTCATTCACATAAACATCACAGGGCACACCTTTCACTTAGGGTCAGCAGAGTGATTGCTGGGAAGGAATACAAAGATTAAGCAAACAAACAAAAACAGGTCCTCTGTGGAGGGGCTCAGTGTTGAGTAGGGAGACAGATCTGAAAATAGATCATTGCAAATTGGTGAGAGAAACTGAGAGTCAACTTGCCTGCCACGCACGTTCGTCTCATCTTCCTACTAACTGGGCTCTCATTGTCATCAACATCAGATTTTTCAAAAAAGTTTGGAGCATAGACTCTGTGCCAGGCATGACGCGAAGCATTGTGGAAACAGGGGACAAATCACCAGACGTGGTCTCTGCTCTCACAGAGGTTCCAGTTGCTCGATCTCGTGTTTTCTGGCCTGGCTCTTCTTGGGATTTCCACGTAGGAAGCTAGAGACACTGTGAAGTCACATCTTACCTTGAGCATTAGGTTAGAAGTCAATGAGAAAGACAAAAATAGAATATAAACATGATTACGGTCGAAAATGGCTATATTGGACATGACATGCTATAACTCAAAGCCTCGAGGACAGCCATTTTTTTCCTTTTTTCAGTCCCCTGGTGTTGTAACAGACCACTTTATTTTTACTTTTACTTAAGCACCAGACAACAAGCTGGCTTTGAGGGCTCATGCTGTATAATAAAAATATCTCTTGGAATATTAAATATCCCACTCAGCAAACACAGTGAGAAGATGCAAGAACTGAGACTGAGCGAGGGAGTAGCATTTCTATGTGTCTCCACTAACCCTTCCCGAGAGCCTGCACTCAGGGCGCTGAATTAAAGAGCTATGAACGCTTCTTGGGGTAAAGCAGGAGACCCAAAGAGCATTTGCAAACAAAGAAACAGCCTGATAGAATTGCTCTATCAAAGACACGGAGAAGAATTGTGCCCTTGTAGGGGAGGGGTGAACTTTGAGGGGAAAAAAAAAAAGAAAGAGAAGGATCTGGTAAAAATGACTACCCAAGATTTCAAGTCCCAACCACTGAGCAGAACCAGAGGGCAGTGCTCAAGCATCCATGCAAATCTGGTCAAGAGTGTGGGCAGGGTTTGGGCCATGAGGTGGGGAAGTGTGGGTACCATTGGAGTTTCCTGAGCTTTGTCTCCTCCTCACTCACCTCTCAGAAAATTCGTGATTCTCATTTTTGTTACCGGGAAAAGGGAAATAAGAATTACCTCAGTTCTTAGTCACCGGAAAAAAAAGAATTTTTGATGAGAGACAGAAAGAGTGATATAAGCAAGATTCTTATTAGGGACGGAAAAAAAAAAGTGAAAGATAGTGCATTCCCAAGAGCTGGGAGCGGGCCAATCCCAGAGAGGAAAAATGGCGCCGTTCCCTTGTTTCTCCTGTTTTTATATCCTGGTTTCATGATTGATTGATTGATTGACAACTCAGATTCCCTGTGCTCTGGTTGATTGACAGCTCAGGCTCCTTGTGTTCTGGGTTGTTCCTTTCCCCTACCTCTCCCCCTGCCCAGTGCTCATTTCCATCTAAACTACTGAACATTTTTATTGGGGGAAGATTTAACAAGAGGGAGAAAGGTTCTTATACCCAAATTTCTCCTGGGAGAGCAACGTATGTATTTTTACAAAATACCAGTGGAGAAGTGCTTTGGTTTGGAACATGAGATTCCCCCACATCACGCTCCACCAATAAAAGATGAATGCTGACTCTGGTGCAAAAACCAGGGGAAATAACTGGGTTTGCTCCTGAGAGGGAAGTTCCGTGAGTCGGAGGACAGCGTCAAAAAGAGAGAGGAAGTGAGGCATCTTTGTGGTGGCAGAGAGCAGTGCGCTGTTGAAACTGACTTCCCAAACCCTCTGTAGTTTCCATAAAATTCTATACAGTCACAAAATGCTTGGTGTGGGCAGATTTCTGGAGGACGCTACTGAAGGGGGCACGCTGTGGGTGAAGGATGATTTGGGGTAAAGCAGAGTTAGCCCACCTGGACCCAGGGGCCAAGTGAACAGAGAGCCCCCTCGCTAATGGGCTGAGGACGCTCAGGGCCTCCGGCCTCGAACTCCAGACTCATATGTCTAATTGCTTTCTCAATGTCTCCACTTGGATGACCAAAAAGCACCTCAAATGTCAGTGCCCCCCACCAAAATCTGTCTCTCCATCACAGGAAATGTTCCTACCATTCAGCGGGTTGCTCAGGCCACATCCTGGGGTCTTTTTCACTCCTGTTTCTGTGTTTTTGTTTTCAAAGCCATCAGCAAGTACTGTTGGCTCGGCTTTAAACATCAACCCGGGATCTTCCAACACTTAACACCTCGACCGCCACTAATCTCCATTTCCTGTCACTTCAGAAGACCCTTGCAGGGGCCTCCTAGCCAACATCCCTGATTCTGCACGTGCCTCAGTTAAGTTTATTCTCCTCCCACAGTAATCCTTTAGAAATGTACGTCCAATCATATCTGTCTCCTGCACGTCCCGAAGTCCTTATAATGGCCTAAGGACTCCCTGTGACCTGGCTGCCACTTCCTTTTCTACTCCTCTGCCTTCCCTGGCCTTCTTGCTGTTCTTGGCAGGTGACAGGTGCACCGTATTTTGAGGGACTTTGTATTTGCTATACCCCAGCCCGGACCATCAATAATGAGTAAAGCTGGGATTCCAAGCCAGGCAGCTGAACTCCAGAGCAATTGCTCGTAACCACTGTCACTCACCAATGCCGCAGCACATGTCACACTGCCTGATACTCTGTTATTTATCTTTTCATTTATTGGTTCCCCTCTCCTTAAAATATAACCTTCGTAAGGGCAGGGACTTTTTTTGTTCATCACACAGCACCTGGCACAGAAGTGGCCACTCTATAAATATCTGTGGACGGGATGAAGTCTTAGCTGACATCTGTGGTGCTGACACACACGCTTTCAATGAATTCATCACTAATCTTTACAAAAACCTCAGGAAACAATTACTAGGATTTTCCTCACTTTAAGGAGGATGGAGCTGTGGCTCGAAGAGGTTAAATATCTGCCCACAGTCCCACAGCTAAGAAGCGAAAGGGCAGGGACTGGAGATGGGGTCCATTTACCTTCAGAGCCTAAGCTCTTAATCCCGGGGCCGCATCTGTGCTCCCGCTTCTCCGCGATCTTCTCCTCGATCCCTTCTTGTGGCGCAGAGCTGCACCTAGAAATAATCAGATGTTTGAAGAATGCAGAAAGACCTCAAGAAAACAAAACAGCTTGGTATAAAGCACTAAACTTTTTATCATTGGCCGGTACCTATTCAAACATACAGTCCATTCTCCTGATTTTAGAGAGGAGATTAAAATGCAGAGAAGTTGAATGGGTGTCTAAGGCTCCCAGACTCCATGATGTTCCAAAAAAATCCCTGTGTAAGGAATCAGGAAGTCTGTTGAGTAACTGTGTGTTATGGGTTGAATTATACCCCTCCCCGCCAGATTTTTAGGTTGAAGTCCTAACCCACAGTACTTCAGAGTGTGACTTTATTTGCAAATCAGGTCATCGCAGATGTAACTCATGAAAGTGATACTAGAGTAGGGTGGGTCCTTAATCTAGTATAGGTGGTGTCCTTACAAAAGGAGGTATCTGGATGCAGACCTGGACACAGAGAGAGCATCACGTGAACACGAAGGCGGAGACTGGGGTGCTGCATCTCCAAGCCAAGAATGCCAAAGATTGCCAGCAAATCATCAGAAGCTAGGGGAGAGGCATGAACAGATGGTCCCCTGCAGCTCAGCAGGAACTGAGCCTGACACCACTCTGATCTTGGACTTCGAGCCTCCAGGGCTGTGAGACAATAAATTGCAATTGTTTACCCAGTTTGGGGCACTTGTTTATAGCAGCTGAATGACACTCTGTGATCCCAGACAGGTCACTGGCCACTCAAGCCTCAGTTTATTTATAAAAGGAAAGACATAGACCAGATGATCTCAGAGGAATCTATGGTTTAAAATTGTATGGGTTAGCGGGGAGGGTACTGCTCAAGTGGTCGAATGCATGCGTAGCATGCACGAGGTCCTGGGTTCAACCCCCAGTACTCCCTATAAACATAGATAAATAAATAAACCCAATTACTTTCCCTCCCCAAAATAATAAAAATAAGTAAATAAATAAAATGATACAGATTTATCATTCCAGGACTCCGAGACCAACAGTCTTTTCGGTTTGGAAAGCCATAGGCGTGGGATTATGTTTTACTCTTTCACAAAACTACTTGATTCAATTCAGTTTGACAAATGTGTATTTGTTCCAGAAATTGGACTGGGCACTGGAAGTTCGACAGGGAATATTATCCAAGTTCTGACTTCAATGATTTATAGTTTTTTGGGAAAGATAAAAACCTAACTTAAATATTTGGTGGTAGGTGATTATAATTATAAGATTTCTTAGACCTTTATATATATCAACTCATGTAATTCTCACATAACCCACTATAAACTAGGTATCATTGTAATTATCCCCATTTTACAGATGATAAAGCTGAGGCACAAGGGAGTTAAGGGACTTGCCCAAGGTGACACAGTTAATTAGTGTCAAAGCATGAGATGTTCTGGGCTCTCAGGAAAAGAGTTCTTACCCCAACCTTGGGAATCAGGGAATCTTCTTGTAGGAGGTCGCCTGATCTGAGTCTTGAGGGATGTAGGAGATAACCAGGTTGGAGAATTCATGGTGAGGGGCAGAGGCTGCACAGATCATGGGCTGATAAATGGGATTTGCCTGCTATCCTGGTCCATCTTGGGTCACAGCTTTTAAGGCTCATACAATCATTGATTCCATTACCGTGAAAGACACGAGGCTCAGAGAAGTAGCAATGAAATGGTGGGAAAAGCCCTGGATTTATTATTTGACAGATTTAAAACCCCCATTATACTGAAGCCCAATGAGTAGGTGACTTATTTAAGTTAGTTAGGTTAGTAAATGAAGCAGTTAGGATTTGAACCCAGGCCACTTGGCTCCAGAATCAATGCAATAAACCACCTTTCTTGACTTGGACTCCATTAGGCTTCCTTCAGGGGGCTGAGAATTATCATGACCCCCAACTTATTTAGGTCAAAATAAGCCTGTGGGAATATGTCAGGGAAATGCCACCCATTGTGTGTGTGTGTGTGTGTGTGTGTGTGTGTTTCTGTGTGTGTATGTATCTGAGTGTGCGTTTCTTTCCAACTCCAACAGTTCCTGAGTCTACAAATCAGCCTCAAGCCCCATGAACCTTCTTGAGCACAAGCTATCATCTGCAGCCTTCGCAAAGATGCCACAGTAACCTCTGCTTCTGCAGTAGCTCCCTGTTGTCAGGTGGGAGGATGATCACATATGCCCTGTGCTTTGGAATCAGAAGATCAACTTTCTTTTAGACTGATACTCACCGTGGTCTTCCTGAGAACATCATTATGATTTTATGATCTGGAAAGCAAGTGGTGAGTAACAGCAGCAGTTTGCAAGCTCCTGGAATGCAGAGCTCCATCTTGCTCACCTCAGACCCTTCCTTTCATCTCTGTACTTAAACCAGTGCCTAGCCATGGTGGACGCACGGTGTCTGCAGACAGCTGGGGTGAAAGAATGCTGTCATGGTCTGAATGTCTGCACTTGCCAAAAATTTATATGTTGAAATCCAAAACTCCAAAGATGGTAGTACTAGGAGGTGGCACATTTGGGAGGTGCTTAAGTCATGAAGGTCGAGCCCTTGTGAATGGGGTTAGTGCCCTTATGAAAAGGGGTCCAGAGAGACCTCCAGCCCCTTTCACTAGGTGAGGCCACAAATGAGAAAGCTCCAGCCATGAACCGGGATGTGGGCCCTCACCAGAATGTGATCCTACTGGTTGGTATCTTAATCTTGGACTTCCCAACCTCCGGAACTGTGAGAAATAAATTTCTGCTTTTTTTTGAGCTACACAGTCTGGAATTTTGTTACAGCAGCTTAAAGGGACTAAGACAAAAGCCTCAGCTACAAGCCTGCCTCTCTCTTCTGAAGAAGTGGTTCTCCACTCACATTACACCTTAGAATTTATGTGGGGAAAGTTTAAGAAATCTGATGCCCAGGGCTCCACCCAAGACCAATTCAAACAGAAATCTGGGAGTGAGGCTGAAATTCCATCAGTATTTTTAAAAACATTTATTCCCCAGGTGATTTTAATTTTGCATCCCAGGTTAAGAACCACTTTTCTGTAGAAACAGACATGCAAATATTTATAAATATTTATAGCTCGAGATATTTTAAAGTCACAGCTGTGGCTATTCTCACCAATTCGTTTTTGTCACTCAATCTGTAAAAGCTCAGAGACAGTGGGGGTGCCATCAGAAATCAGGGATGGTGGCAAAGTGCTTATAAACATCAGCCCTGGAACTAGCAGGCAAGCTGGTTCTGCGTGGGTGGATAATTTCAGTTTATTGCGTGGAGTTCTTCTAGAGCAGACCCCTTCCTCGTTCACAAACCACATCCCCCTGTGGTTAAATATCATGGGCCTTCAACTGATTCTTCTTTGCAGTCTTTTTACACATACACACACACACACACACACACCACTTTCTCAGGATAAATTTTTTTCTAAAGCTGACTGTAAGATTTCAACAAAGCGTTATTTTGCATACGCTATTTACACAGTTCTTTCCAGAAAGAAAAGCATAACCATATGATCAACAGGTGACTCCAGGGATCATTGAGATGAGTGTCAATATGTACACCTTGCATCTTGATTTAAGATGACTCTTTGGACCTGATTCTTCATGTGCCAAATGAATCCATGGGACCATCTGACTCTATTAAACTAATGTTCTGTGAGTCTGTGATTTATTTTTCTATAGGACCCAGTCAAGATGGAGATTCCCTTTATTCAGTCTAGTAGATTAAACTCCTCAGATTCTTAAGGCGGTTTTGTCTCTGTTTTTGTTTTTTTTAATTCACCATCTCTCTTGCCGCACCATTGGAGCCAGTCGAACACGTGCTAAGAAAATAAACCTTCCAAGCTGGGGGACTTTTTGGACACAGATTATGAAACTTCAGTTGTGCCATTGGCCAGGCAAAGTGGTTGGTTTTCTCTGTGGGGTATGGTAGGAGAGAAGAGGAAAAAAAAAAAAAAAAGATCCGCTTTTAATGCGTCAGAACTAACCACAAAATAATTGGGCCTACAGTCTAATCTAATCATGCTTTTGTTTATTCACCTCATATAAAAGTCTCTGAAGAATGCATCTGAGCACAATATATAATAATAATACTATAACATACATTGTGAGAAACTTCGGAAAACAGTAAAATGTCCACCTGAAATAATGCAGTGTTTATAGACATACAAACCCATTGGTCATGCACGTTTGTGCCATTTCTTTATCTACTGAGTCACAATGCTGATCTGGAAGCAGGAAATATATTTTACAGACAGAGACCGAAGCCAGTCAGAGGCCTAACAAGTGTTATCAGAAGCTTCACATTGGCATAATTTACTACATCAGTTCACATTTTATTATAGGATTCACATTGTTTATTGTTTTCTTTTGCATCATTGGAACATGGTATTTCTGCTGAACAGCAGGCAGGAGGCTCTCTCTTCCAAGTCAGGAGTTTGGGGACTTCTAGAACTATCTGTGAGTTGCTCGTTAAACGCAATGTAGTGTTTTTTGTTCAACTGAAGCCACGATAATAGTAGAACCCAGTTAAAACCCAACTCATGTACAGATTTGGATAGAACGGGGCAAAAACCACACCTCGTCGTCCCCTACCCCTATCAAACTCTACAAAAGTAAAAGCTCAATATAAACCACTTAGTATCTAATGGGAGAATCCTGTTTCCAAAACCGATTCACGAAGGCATTGAGCAGTATTAGCAACTCAGACAGGGGCAGAGGGCAGACCCACTGGTGTCCTCACTGGCGAGGGGGCCGTATGTCTCTATTAAGCAACATTCAGGTTATACAATACACAATACAAAACGGTACAAGAAAAGTTGCAACTCTTAGGCAGAGTCTTCTACACAAATTTAACACCACCATTGGCAGGCAATGTTAGATATATAAATTAATAACTTACAAAACATTACATTATATACATTAAGTAATAAATACGCGGTTATAAACAGAAACGGAGGTGTTAGCGCAGAAGGCAGTGCAAGAGAAAGATGGCGGCACTAGATTGGAAACTGTGGTAAGTGGAGGTGAGCAGGGAGGCGGGGCGAAAGAACAGGGTAGGGATGGTGCAACCCCAGCAGCACGGGGTGCAGGACCCAAAAGGGCAACTGCCGTATTAAGCTGAATTCTACACAGACTGTTATGTGAACATGACTACCCTTCCTACCCCTTCGTTTGTTCAACTTTATTCTGTAGACAGCGAAAAAGCAAAACTTCAGAGGAGGAAAAAGACTGTTCAAAGCAGGCAAACAGATATGTTCTAAGGGTAACTGAGAAGCTGGAAGGGACAAGAGGGGGAGGAAGTTGAATGTGGCTAGAAGCATAGCCTTTCTATTTGCAAAAGGAGCCACAGTCAAGTGAAAGATATTGCCCAAGAAAGAAGGAAGACCGTTTTCTTTCCCTTTTTATCCCCCCCAGAAAGAATCAAAAAAGTTTATGTCAACTTTGAATGCTTATCTGTGTAGAAGTTGATACTAAACTCTAGGTATTCAACAGGCATTTTTAAAGACGTGAAAATGTTTTTACAAAAAAGGCACACAGGTTGGCAGACAAGGGGACAGGTGAGCAGATTTATAAATAACGTCATTAGTCAGTCAGTTCGGTCACTAGAGGGGAAAGATTCCCGAAACTTAGTGCAGAAAAATCTCTCAGTTTTGTGTCTTCCGCGTTCAAGCCGTTTAGTCGGGATGCGAACCAGGCCTCCAGTACCGCGTGAAGCTGCAGCTCTCCATTAAGCCTGCAAGCGAGGCAAGTCAACCATGGAATTTCCTGAGCCGCTATCTGCCTCGCGGTCTTGCATTCTGGCTCCAAACTCAAGTAACTGGAAAGGCCACATGGCCCTTGTCCCGTGCAGGCCTCAGCCCCCGTGGCGGGCTGGCCCTACCATTCAGCTGGCATGCTCGTCAAGGGTGGAATGTTTATCTCCACACGAAGAGGGAGATTATGTGTCGATCGGAGACTTGTCCTCTGTTGCAATGTCCACATCAGTCTCTCCCAGCGAATCTCGATCTTCTGGATCGATCACACAAAGTGTCTTTGTGCTGCCGAAATAGCTGTGGCCCTCTCCTTCTTTTTCGGGCCCTTCAGAATCCTCCTCTTCGAGGGTCAGTTCAAACTGAAACTTCTCCATCAGACCCTGGCAGTCTCTGTTCTGCTCCTCCAGTGGTGGGGAGGGACTCTGGGGTATCATGCTCTGGTACCAGTTCCTATTGTCTTCTAATGTATCCAGGATGTCCTGGGCATCGGGCTGTACCAGATCCGCCCAGGTCTCCCACAGAGGGTGGACAATGTAGTCGATGAAACCCACCTGGAGGAAAAGAAGGTTACACATCTGTTATTGTGATGGGCCCTGCAAAACCAAACAGGCTGTTCTGGTTTGCATGCAAAGAGCCATGACAACCCAAGAGAGGTCAATAATAACGGATTCTATGACTTGAGC